CTCCCTTCACAGCTCTGTTGATGCCGCATGGCTTTTTTCTTTTTTTTATTTATTTTGGAGATACTACACAATATAATTACAACAGAAAGACATGAAACTTTACAAATTTCGTGTCCACTTTTGTAAGCTCAAAACAATAGTGTCATATCTTCATAAAATAGCCTAAGCTATATTGAAATAATTGAAATAATTACAAATATCGGATATAATAAAATCGCATTAAATAAATAAACCAACCATACCATAAAACTAACAAAAGCTATACCAATTTAGGTAGGCCTGTATACAATAGCCTACATAAATCAAACCGTTGTAAAGCCATATTAAACTTTCATTTTACAAAGGTCTAGCTGAAAAAAGGATTTTGGATATTTTCTTAAAACAATAAAAACTGGAGAAGGTTTGAAATATTATTTATTAAGTATTTGCATACGATGATATTAATCAAATCATGCAAACAGAGCATTTTTTTCGGTGAGTGAAAGCAGAAAGGCGACTTTTTTTGTAGGCTAGGCTATGTTTTTTCTTAAATCCATGAAGAGCTTTATTAGTGGAAAGCTGCTGAGTGCAACGAAACATATTTTATTACTTGCTCTTACAGGCCTGTGCGTGTAGACAATGTAATCCATTTTCCCCCAGCTGCAACAATGTGAATAGCTATGTTTCTGTTATATAATTATGCTTTAGGTAAGTTTTACATTGCACATTTTATTAAACAAAAAACACACGCAAACGCAGGGAGAACATGCAAACTCCACACAGAAACGCCAACTGAGCCGAGGCTCAAATCAGCGACCTTCTTGCTGTGAGGCGACAGCACTACCTTCTGCGCCACTGCTTCGCCCTCTATAAAGTATTTTAAGTACAAAAACAATGTCAATCATGGGATTATTTTACACTTTGGGGATCAATAATAATAAAAATAATAGTATGTAATCATATACAAACTATAAAAAGCCCTGTAAAACCTATGTAACGACCACAGAAAAAAAGATGAATGTGTGTAAGTACACAAAAGACTCACTAGAGGGCGATACATGTGTACATTAAATTAAGGTTGTCAAAAAAAAAAGTTTATTTAAAATGAAAAAAGCAGAAAAAACATATAACCTTATTTAAAAATAAAAAATAAGATGACAAAAATAAGCTACTTAACTACTTACCGAGATAGTAACGTATTTCAGTATCTGGATCTCTTTCCATTATCATTTGTTTATCATGGATTTTCATTGTAGCTGTTTAAAAAACGCAGTATCATTATGAAACATGACTTATACAATTCTATCAACATATAAGGTTTAAAAAAAACAACAAGTCCATATATATGTAAGTAGTGTGGTAAAATTAAGGGACCAAACGTGTCAGCTCTGACTAATAAACTGAGTGACATCTTACTGAGACGGTTACAGTCTAAAATTATCCATAAATTAGCAGTTTTCCATATTTTGTGATTTATGGTTTTGTTTTTTCCCATTTATTTATGCTTTTGAACTGCATTATGGGACTTTGATCTTTCTTCCAATAACTTTTAACTTTGAGAAGTTTGAATAAGAGATTTTTTATTAACATTTAAGTAGTTTAAAGTGATATATTTTCATGTTGTATATTATGGTAAAAAAAAAAACTCGTAATGAGCTGCATTACATTTTCTGTTATTTTACAGACTTATTTATCTTTATATTATACATTATATTATTTCAAACTACTAAAATGTTAGTAAAAATTACTTTGGTAAACTGCAGGGTTGTAAAAAAGCCTTGTGAATTACAAAATATGAAGCTTGTTTGTGTCTTTGTAAAAAAAAAAATTAAAAAATTTAGTTTTCATGATAATATTTATCATAATGATAAGGTATGTTAAACGTGTAAGTTGAGTGACAAACAACTAAGGTTTGGATCCAAATGCAGGTTTAATCAGTAATCAGGCAAGCAAACGTCAATACAGATGCAAACAGATATATGCAGACAATCCAGAATCATAGTCAAACCGGCAAGGAGGTAAGAAGGCAGGCAGCAAACAAGGACAAATGGATAAGCTAGGCTAAGGTCAAAACATGGAGAACCAAGACAAGGAAACCGCGTTGTAGTGTTACTATTACAGTTAACAAGACTCCCCAAAGTGAATGAGTGTGTGCTGCTTAAATAGTGTGTGCAATCAGTCTCTTCCTCAGGTGGTGCGAGTGTAATCAGTCTAGATGGGGAAGCATGCGTGTCTGGGTGAAGTGCATGTATGCAGTTGTAGTCCATAAACTGGCGGATTTGTAGTTAGAATGAGAGATAATGTTTTTCAGCGACCTCTGGTGGTTAGAGGTCGCTGGTGATTGTGACAAAACGTCTGAAGTGGCATTATCTAAATCACATTCTTTTTTAATATGTATAAATAACATCAGCAAATGTTTCTCATTTTTGAGAATTATTTTTGGAGTTTCATTTTGAAATGTTCTGAATTGAAATATTTGTTGCAATATACAGTTGAAGTCAGCCCTCCCGAATTATTAGCCCCTCTGTTTATTTTTTTCCCTCAATTTCTGTTTAATTGAAATATTTCTTCAACACATTTCTAAACAATAGTTTTAGTAACTCATTTCTATTAACTGATTTATTTCATCTTTGCCAAGATGACGATATGTAAATAATATTTTACTAGATATTTTTCAAGACACTTCTATACAGCTTAAAGTGACATTTAAAGGCCAACTAGACAGGTTAGGGTAATAAAGCAAGCTATTGCATAATGATGGTTTGTTCTGTAGGCTATTAAAAATAATTTTGCCTAAAGGGGCTAATGATTTTGACCTTGAAATGTTTTTTTTTTAAACTAAAAACTGCTTTTATACTAGCTGAAATAAAACAAACAAGAATTTTTCAGGAATAATTATTATCAGACATACTGTGAAAATATCCTTGCTCTGTTAAACATAATTTGGGAAATATATATATAAAAAAGAAACATTCAAAAGATGTCTAATAATTTATAATATGCACTTATTTAGCCAGGTATTTATTAATGATTTTACAATCTTCTTTTTTATTTATAAGAGCTGTAATTTATCAAACTGTGTTTTAGAAAGTCAAGTTTTGACAATTTTGAGATTTGTCTAAAAACATATAACACCATATATACTATCTCTAATATAGTCAAAATTTGGCATTCACCAGTTTATTTAGCTTAGTTCTGAATAACTTCTATTCAGACTTCTCTAACCTACTCATTGAGACATTAGCGCTACCTACAGATGACGTCAAAATTATTAAACAAATGATTTTTTTTTCTTTTTCAAATATTTTCCAAATTATGTTTAACAGAGCAAAACTTTTTTGTGTCTTACATGTGTGAAAAAAAGTGCTAGCGCTGTCACTTCACAGCAAGAATGTCGCTGGTTCCAGCCTCGGCAGGGTCAGTTGGCATTTCTGTATGGAGTTTGCATGTTCTCCCCATGTTCGCTAAGGGTTTCCTCCGGTTTCCCCAACAAGTCCAAATACGTGGTATACGTGAATTGGGTAAGCTAAATTGGCCGAAGTGTATGTGTGTAAATGAGTGTGTACGGTAGTTTGCAGTGATGGCTTGCAGCTGGAAGGGCATCTGCTGTGTAAAAAAAGTGCTGGATAAGTTGGCGGTTCATTCTACTGTGGCGACCCCAGATTAATAAGGGGACTAAGCTGAGAAGATAATGAGTCAAAGTTTTTTTTTATTTTTATTTTTTTATGCTATACAATGATTAGCCTAATTACTCTAGCTTGCCCAGTTAACTTAATTAACATACTTAAAGCTTTAAATGTCACCTTAAACTGCAGTGTCTTGAAAAATATCTAGTGAAATATGATTTACTATCATAGTGACAGATAAAATAATTCAGTTATTAGAAATGAGTTATAAAAACTAATATGTTAGAAAATGTGTTGAGAAAATCTTTTTTCCGTTAAACAGAAATTAGGGGGAGAAATATACAGGAGGTGTAATATATAAGGAGAGTTAATAATTCTGACTTTAACAGTACATGTCTATTTAAAAAAAAAAAAATTAAAAAAAAAAAAATATATATATATATATATATATATATATAAATATATATATATATATATATATATATATATATATATATATATATATATATATATATATATATATATATACAACAATATATATAACAACAACAACAAAAACAACAAAAAGTTGTAGCCTATTTGGTGGAAACCTGCCCTTAACCCTTTAACTGCCCCACCAAGAAAAAAATGAGCATTTCTTAACTCCTAGTTATGACGCTAGTTAACACACTCAATGCATGTTTTTTAAACACATCCTATAATTTCTAAAATATCAGTCTCTACCGAATGATATGTTTTTTTCTTTTCGGCTAAGTGCCTTTATTAATCTTCATCACCTGAATGAACCGCCAAAAATATGAAGCGTAAAGACCAATTAATTTTTTTTAATTATCAAAATAAAGCATTTTTGAATACTAAATCATCTTTATTTTTCGAAGCATGCCATCAAATATTTCAGATTCTCATTTAACATGTTTTTTAACAGTAAAACCAAAATCAAGTGTACTAAAGGAACAGAATTAAGTTTGTTTGTTGTTGTAAACCAACAGTACTGTGTGTTTAAACCATTATTTAAAACACTATTTTTAATAGTGCTTCAGCTTCAGCTTCAGCTATCTTAATGTTAGCAATATATTTCGCGTTTTGCCTTTTTTCTCAAAGAGTTGAAGTTGTTGGAATTAGGACTGACAAGTATGTAAAGAAAGATACTCACTGGAGCACGTCAAATGTTTCATAAAACTAATAATCCCACGTATGCACCTGTTAGCTGCGGAATGTCTGGACCGTCATGGTCCCGCCTTCTTACACTTGTCCTTTCATTCTGATTGGTCGAGTAAGATGTGTATGGTAATTTCCGTCTAGCCTGCACCTGACTCTCTCTTCTCTACTCGAGAATGTGGCGTAAAGACAACCTCCAAGCATCAGCTATTTATTCAACACAGCACATATCCCACTAAAAACTCCTGCTCGCTCAGACCCGCCAGCGCCAGGCAGAAGTCAAAGCTCGTTTCCTTTCCAAGACCAGAGGTACGATGCCAAGGTCTTTCTTGGTGAAGAAACACCTCACCAACAAGAAGCCTGACTATGGTGTGTTGGACTCAAAAAAACACGGTGAGTGATTTTCAACTCAACGGAGAGTAAGCAGTACTTTTAAAGTAGTATATTCAGTGACAGAACTTAAGTTTCAGATCTGGTTTACCTTTAAGTGATTACTTTCTTTCTTTACTGAAATAGGCACCTTTTTAGTCGGGTATTAATGACTTTATGATTTTCCTTTTCATTTATAATTGTGGAAATTTATCGAACTACATTGAAAACAAAAACATTAATTTACTACATACTAAGCAATTTATACACTGCAAAAAATGCTTTTCTTACTTGGATTTTTTTGTCTTGTTTCTTGTCCAAATATTTAAACACTCTTAAATCAAGAAGAATTTTATAAGTAAGCAAATCATAATGTCTTGTTTTCAGAAATAATATGGCAATATTAAGCGAGTTGGTCCCTAAAACAAGCAAAATAATCTGCCAATAAGGTAAGCAAAATAATCTTGTTTTTCTTTTTAACATAAGATTATTTTTCTTACACTTTTGGCAGATAAATCCGCTTTTTTTAAGAAAAAAAGTCACTTCGTTTTGGCATATTATTTCTCAAAACAAGACAATATGTTTGGATTGCCTCTAATTTTTCTTGATTTAAGAATTTTTAGATATTTGGACTAGAAACAAGACAAAAAATCTAAGAAAGAAAAATAGTCCATTTAAATAAATCTTGTTTTTTTTTTTCATTTCAGCGTATGCTTGAAACTCTCACATAATACTGTTTTGACAGTTTAGCGATTTGTCTAAAAAATAAATAATGTAATAACACAAAACATGTAAATATTGGCCTATGTTAGTAAATTATTGTCATCTCTAATATGATCAAAGTTGATATGATGAAGCAGAATAAATTTTACTTTGATTCATTTATTTAATTTAATTAAACTTGGGGAGTGGTTTAGCCTTCTCATTGAGACATTTATTGCATGTTCATTTTATTTAATTTCAAAACCAAAATGTAATTTTTTTTTATTATTTTTTATTTTTTTTTTTTGCTTTTGAAGTGTTTATTTTTCTTGTTTATCATATGGACCTAACCATGTAGTCAAGTACTTTATTGTCATTTACATGTAGGTGAACACAGAACGAAATTTCATAGGATTGGCTCCACAGCATAATTTATGTATGTGTATATGAACTCAGAATTATTAGCCCCCCTTTAAAATTTTTTCTTTTTTAAATATTTCCTAAATTATGTTTAACAGAGCAAGGACATGTTTACAATATGTCAGATTTTTTTTTTTTTTCTTCTGGAGAAAGTGTTTTTTTTTTTTTTCGGCTAGAATACATTTTAAGGTCAAAATTATTAGCCCCTTTAAACTATATATCTTTTGATAGTCTACAGAACAAACCATCCTTATACAATAACTTGCCTAATTACCCTAACCTGCCTAGTTAACAGAATTAACCTAGTTAAGTTTTTAAATGTCACTTTAAGCTGTATAGAAGTGTCTTAAAATATCTAGTTAAATATTATTTACTGTCATCATGGCAAAGATAAAATAAATCAGTTAATCAAAATGAGTTATTAAAACTAATATGTTTAAAAATGTTTAAAAAAAAATCGTTTTTACGTTAAACAGAAATTAGGGGGGGGGGAAATCGTGTAAATCTAAAGCGTTACAAAAAAGTTAATGTGGGTAATATAGCAAACATTCATTCATTCATTCATTCATTCATTCATTCATTCATTCATTTTCTTGTCGAATTAGTCCCTTTATTAATCCGGGGTCGCCACAGCAGAATGAACCACCAACTTATCCAGCAAGTTTTTACGCAGTGGATGCCCTTCCAGCCGCAACCCATCTCTGGGAAACATCCACACACACATTCACACACACACTCACTCACTATGGACAATTTAGCCTACCCAATTCACCTGTACCGCATGTCTTTGGACTGTGGGGGAAACCGGAGCACCCGGAGGAAACCCACGCAAAGGCAGGGAGAACATGCAAACTCCACACAGAAACGCCAACTGAACCGAGGTTTGAACCAGCGACCCAGTGACCTTCTTGCTGTGAGGCGACAGCACTACCTACTGTGCCACTGACTCGCTTATAACAAACATCAAGTATATTTTTTAATAGTATTCACTTTTGTGTACTCTTTAAATTATTACTATTGGTTATATAAAAAGCATACATATAAAAATAAGTTTTTTTTTAAATGCTGTAAAACTTGTCAGAAGGCACAGTACGTCACTGCTTTAGAAAGTGGCCTGTATGATCAGCTACAGATGTTCTGTACAGTCATGATGAGGAGATAATGAGAATGGATATCGGCAACAAGACTAGAGTTTAGCAGGTGCAGAATCACTCACAAAAGAGGGGCTCATTGTTAGCCACTACTTTGGGGTTTGAAGAGTCCTATTAGAAAAGCTGAAGAGGCATATAGTGTTCCCTTACAATGCTTTTACCCTGCAGCACCTTCAGATCTGTGGTTTGTCTTTACTTTTGGCCCACTGATAACCTATTATTAATACACATTTTTATTCAGCTGTATGTCTTAGAGGAAATAAGAAACAGCAGACTTTATTGTATATATGTTTTATTTTTCTTCCATTGCTGTACTGGCTGTTTGGGAAACTCACTGCCAGATAACTTGCAGACATACAGAAATATGTGCTTTTTTGTTTTCATGTAGTTTTAGGCTGTTTAATTTCTTGCATAATTTTAAAAGCTTATATAAATATATACATTGTTCACATAGACACTTTCTTCAAATCAACTTAAAGAACAATTAAAAGTATATTTCATGTTTATCAATACCTAAATAGGAACCTGGTTATACGTAAAGTTCAAAAGTTAAGTTATAATGGTCAATTTCATTAGGTATTTGCTCACTGGCTATACTTCTTCTGCTAAAACAAGGTAAAGCTAAAAAGTAGTTTTTAAAATGTTGCATAGTTCCAATACAAATGTAAATTGCTATAATCTAGCTGGGCAATCAATCTATTTGAAATATCACACAAGCATACTACTAGTATTTTTGTAAGAGTGTACTTGCTACCAAGGTTATTGTAGTAAGCAAAAAACTAAAGCTAAGACTAAAACTATTGGTAAATACCATTGATGAACCTGAATAAAATGGTCCATGATTTGTCTATTTGGATTTTATTGGAACATTGGAAGGTTGGCATTGCTACCAAAATGAAAGAAGATTGATGATAGGATAAAGGCAGAGCAGAAACGAGACATGTTCTTATAGCCCTGTCCTAAATATATATATATATATATATATATATATATATATATATATATATATATATATATATATATATATATATATATATATATATATATATATATATATTGAATATTGGGGGGTGAATAAGGATGTTGCACAGTTTGACCTAATCATGTGCATTTCATCTCCACAGAGATGATTCATAATGAATCTTCAAACTCCAAACTCAAAACGCTGCACCCCCATCAGAATATGTTTCCTGTGCCGTGTTATGGGAACTCCGCTGGGTGGATGAACCCTATCAGTTCTGACATTTACATGCCTCCACAGCACCCAAGCCTGCCCATTGATGACCCAATTCTGGGTCTCACTTACCCCTTACCTGCGCCATCCAGTCCCCTTCGAGACATGCGGCCTGCGCTCTCAATGCTGGAGCATACAGATCCAAGCTCACTTCAGCTTTCCCACAGAGACCTTCATGAAAAAGTGCCTGTGTCCCCTTTAGGACTGACAACCACTGGCAACAGTCAGGAACACAGCGATGAGTGTTTTGACTGCCAGAAAGCTTACCTGTCCTTCTCTAATCTGGCCAACCAGAGGCAGGTCCACTGTCAGTGGCCATGCCATAAGTACTTTACCTGCAAGTATTGTGAAAAGGAGTATGTGAGTTTGGGTGCACTGAAGATGCACATTCGCACACACACGCTTCCATGTGTGTGCAAGCTTTGTGGAAAGGCCTTCTCCAGGCCCTGGCTACTTCAGGGACACATTCGCACTCACACAGGTATGTTCACAGTCTGTTGAACCAAAACTCATTTCAAAGTCTGCAGTATGTTCTTCACTTGTATATGAAACATTTCTTATTGTTTACTTATACCCTCATGTCATTGCAACTTTGCTTCTGTAATCTGTGAGTAAATCAAGAGTTTCCAGGTTTTCACATCAAGCCCAATGGACAGTTAAAACTAGCCCAAATAAAATGAAAATGCACCGATGTTAAATCAATAACTTTATATTTTATGTCACATTATACCAGGGGTGTCAAATTCAATTCCTGGAGGGCTGCAGCCCTGCACAGCTTAGTTTTAACTATACTTCAATGCAATTTAAGCTACAGTCACCCTGCACTTTTTTCCCAATAACCTTAATTCATAAGCACACGAATGCGTCAGACCAGAAACACAAGGTCATTAGGTATGTTTTGCAGTTCGCTGCGTTGGGACCAATCGAGGATCAAAAAATGACCCCTTTGGAAAGAAATTTTATATATGGACCAATCACTAATTTTTTTAATGTCTAATCATCTTGTTTAGTCCCGCCCCTTTTCGCAGCCATATACAACAAAATTCCACACACGCAAACTCTAGTGTGCCTGCAGCATAACTGGAGGTGTAAAACAAGCCTGTAGGACTCAATTAGTTTGACCAGGTGTGTTTAGTTAGGGTTAAAGCTAAACTGTGCATAGCTGTGGCCCTCCAAGAACCGAGTTTGACACCCATGCTTCATACATTTTACACTTTCTTCTTTGAAAATAACTGTATATTTGTAATTATAAAGAATCTGTTATCATAAAAAACAACTTGCCTTAAGATTGGCAGCAAAGCTGGCTTGGTGTTGCACCTAGAGCCGCTGCACTTTGCAAAAGTGTGCTTATACTTTTTCAACATCCTATCACAGCTTTTTTTTAAATATTATTACAATATATATTTTGTACAGTAATATTTTTCAATGCAACCCCACGAATGTAATTAATGGAATTTCAAGAGTTCACATTTAGTTGATGATTGATTATGAAGCTTGTTTGGCATGCTGTCCCGGGAAAGAGCCCTGAGCTCAAAAGATCCTTAAGCCTGGGCCTCCCTCCCGTTTCAATGCGAGAGGGGAGTTTGAGCTCAGTTAGATCTCAAGAACTCCCCTGCTGTAGTAGCTAATGAAAAGATAGAGATTGCTCTTGAGAGATAGCTACTTGCTAAGAGCATGTCTATGGTGCTGATTTGGATTAGTCAATTAAGTTAGGTTGAATGTTTTCGGATGGTGGGATCCATAGTAGGGGTGGAAGGGGGAATTCTTCAAAATGAAGATGTCTGTAGTATGAAACCTAGGAGACTTATAGGGGCTTAGGAATTGTCTGATTGGTGAATAATAAATTGGATAATGCAGGGCAGCTGCAAACAATCATAAGCACGTGATCCTCTCGAAATTAGTTTATAAATAAACTTCAGACAGGGCTCACATGGAGTAAATCACCCACAACAATGATTTTAGTTTAGGTTGAACAAAAGCTGTTTTTAATAACTTTTAAGGTCAATATTTTTAGCCTCTGTGAGATTATATTTATGATTGCCTACAGAACAAACCACTGTTTTCCAATGGACCTTTTTCACAAAGACTGTTATGACGTGTTTAAAGGTCATCATAATGTTAAGACCTTTAGTTTTTAATATCTTGATTTTAAAAAATTGTATGAACATTTATATGCATTTATGTATGTTTTATATAATTTTTGCGTCAAATTACAAAAAAACTAATTACCGGTTATGTGAGATGTTTCTAATGCTGCGTCTGGGGCTCAGAGTAAAATTGACATTATTCTCTGGCTGCCGTCATCAGTCGCACACTTTTTTTTTTAACATTTTCTGAAAGTCCTGATAAGACCATCACAAAGTTTTTGTCTTTATTTTAGCAAATAATTTTGTAAAAAAATATATATATGTTTTATTCTCCCATGCATTCACTACGCTCTACGTTTACCCAAATATGATGCCTTCTGCTACTGAGAAACCTGGAAATGTGAAAACTTGTCTAGTTAACCTAATTAACCTAGTTAAGCCTTTAAAATGCACTTTAAGCTGAATACTAGTATCCTTAAAATAGCTAGTTAAATAATGTGTACTGTCATTATGGATTACATATTGTTAAAAAATTTGTTGAAAAATCTCTCACTTGGGAATATTTTGAAAAGAATAAAAGTTTCCCAGAAGCCCTAATAATGTTGCCTTCAACTATATTGCATCATCAACTTTCTTTTGTATGAAAAATCCAATATATTGTGCATTTCTGTTTTTTGGAATCAAAGCATGCATCTGAAGGTCCGATGTAATATGAAGGATATGTTGTAAAACAGGTTTCTCAACTACGTTCCTGGAGGACCACCAGCTCTGCACATTTTTCTATATCTGTTTAACCAAACACACCTGATTCAGATCACCAGCTCATAAGCAGAGACTGAAAGACCTGAAATGGTCTTCAGACAAAGCAGACATCCAAAACATGCAACGTTGGTGGTCCTTCAGGAATGTGGTTGAGAAACAATGTTGTAAAAGACAGCATTTTTATTTTGAGTATCGTATTTTTGAAAGAAGTATGAAGGTGACACATTGTGTTTGAATTGTTTTAGGTGAGAAACCATTCACGTGCCCCCACTGCAGTCGTGCGTTTGCTGACCGCTCAAATCTTCGGGCTCATCTACAAACCCACTCTGAGATCAAGAAATATCAGTGCAGAAACTGCTTTAAAACCTTCTCCAGGATATCACTCCTGACCAAGCATGAGGAGGCTGGGTGCTGTCCCATGTCCTAGGATACTTTGGGCAATAGTACCAAAATTTGTTAACACAGTCTCGCAAGTGCCTCATGACTCAATCATCTGACTGATTCACTGTATGCTCTTGAATTTAAGGCAAATTATGAAGCAGAGTAAGCTGAACACACTCAAAAGTAGATGTTTGTTGTTTGTTCAGACTACTTCTTTAAAATATGAGCTTAAACAGCACAATTCTGGAGTTTGATTTGGGACAACTTAATTATTTTAAGTTTAATGTATTTAAAGTGGTAACAGATAATTCCTTCATGTTGTCCCAACACAAATCAATTGTGTGTGAAACCCAGCATTTTTTACATGTGTGATACTTGTTATTGTTGTAGCTGTTATGGTTTTGTAATGAAGGAATTTCACAAACAATAAAATAATATTTTTCTTATAACGGGCAGTGTCCTTTAAATTAACAGATGCTTCTGCGGTTTGACAGAATTTTTCACATTTCATCATTCATTCATTCATTATCTTCGGCTTAGTGCCTTTATTCATCAGGGGTCCTCAAAGCAGATTGAATTGCCAACTTATCCAGTAAATGTTTTACACAGCAGATGCCCTTCCAGCTGCAACCCAGTACTGGAAAACATCTATTCACACTCATTCACACAAACTACACCTAATGTAGTTTATTCAATTCACTTATAACTTGTCTTTGGACTGTGGGGGAAACCAGAACAATCCTACTTCCTAGCTCAGACTGTATTAATTAATATGTCTGTGTATAATATGTCAATTAATATGTCAGATATATATATCTGTTTATTGGCAGGTGGATGAAGGCCGGCTGCAGGTCATAATGGTGCCATGCCAGAAGTGCATCAGGAGTGTTTTTTATTTTCATCTAAATGACATTGAGGCAGTGCGGTGGAGCAGTGGCACTGTCACCTCACAGCAAGAAGGTCGCTGGTTTGAGGCTCGGTGGGGGTCTGTTTGCATGTTCTCCCCACGTTCATGTGGGTTTCCTCCGGGTGCTCCGGTTTCCCCCACAAGTCCAAAGACATGAGCTATAGGTGTATTGGGTAAGCTAAATTGTCTGTAGTATATGTGTGTGAATGTGTGTATGGGTGTTTCCCAGTGATGGGTTGCTGCTGGAAGGGCATCCACTACATAAAACATATGCTGGACAAGTTGGCGGTTTTTTCCGCTGTGGCAACCCCTGAATAATTAAGAGACTAATCGAAAAGAAAATGAATTAATGAATAAATGACACAGTAAGCTTACGTTTGTCTGATCACCATTAAAAAAAACACTCATAGAATTTGAACTGGAAAACATGTAAAATGGGACCACTGAAATTGTTTAAGTAAGTGGTCAGAGCAATATTGTGAACTTAATATTGTGATTGTGTATTAGTGTTTCCCAGTACTGGGTTGTGGCTAGAAGGGCATCTGCTGTGTAAAGCATATGCTGGAATAGTTGGTGGTTCATTCCGCTGTGGCAACCTCTAAAATGGAGACTAAGCCAAAGGAAAATAAATGAATAAATTAATATTTGTGACATTGGAGCACTAAATGTTGCACAGGTATATTTTTGTAAATACATTGTATGGGTAAAAATGATCGATTTTTCTTTTATGCCAAAAATAATTTGAATATTAAGTAAACATTATCTTCCATGAAAATATGTTGTGAATGTCCTGCTGTATACAGTTAAAATTATTAGCCCTTCTGTGATTTGCCAAATTATGTTTAACAAAGCAAGGGATTTTGCTCATTATGTCTGATAATATTTTTTTCTCCTGGAGAATTTTTTATTTGTTTTATTTTGGCTAGAATAAAAGCAGTGTATAATTTTTTAAAAACATTTTAATGTCAATATTATTAGCCCCCTTAACCATTTTTTTTCTTTAGATTGTCTACAGAACAAACCCTCATAAGACAGTGACTTGCATCTTTACCCTAACTTGCCTTATGAACCTAGTTAAGCCTTTAAATGTCAATTTAAGCTGAATACTAGTACAGTTGAATTCAGAGTTAAAATGAAATTTTCACAGTATGTCTGATAATATTTTTTCATCTGGAGAAAATCTTATTTGTTTTATTTCAGCTAGAATAAAAACAGTTTTTCATTTTTAAAAACCATTTTAAGGTCAAAATTATTAGCCTGTTTTATATATATTTTTCGATAGTCTACAGAACAAACTATTAGTATACAATAACTTGCCTAATTACCCTAACCTGCCAAGTTAACCTAATTAACCTAGTTAAGCCTTTAAATGTCACTTTAAGCTGTATAGAAGTGTCTTGAAAAAAATCTAGTAAAATATTATTCACTGTCATTATGGCAAAGATAAAATAAATCAATTATTAGAAATGAGTTTTTTAAACTATTATGTTTAGAAATGTGTTGAAAAAAAATCTTCTCTCCATTAAACAGAAATTGGGGAATAAAAAATAAACAGGGGGCTAATATTTAGCATATATATAACTCTCAGATTTTTAAATAAGTGAAGTTTATTTATCAACTAATTTCGAGAGGATCACATGCTTATGATTGCTTGCAGCTGCCCCGCAATATCCAATTTATAATTCATCAGTCAGACGATTCCTAAGCCACTATAAATACCCTAAATTCAATATAACAGCGATCTTTGTTTTAAAGAATGCTCCCTTCCACCCCTAATCCTCCTCCTTTCCTAGATGGGTGGCATGGTGGTCCAGTGATTAGGACTGTTGCCTCACAGAAAGAACGTCACTAGTTTTAGTCCTTACCATGCCAGCCAACGTTTCTGAGTTTACACATTCTCCTCATGCTCACGTGGGTTTCCCCCGGGCTCTTCAGTTTCCTCCCACTTAAGTTAATTGACTAATCCAATCAGCACCATGGACATGCACTTAGTAAGTAATTATCTCTAAAGAGTAATCACTATCTGTTTATTAGCTACTACAGCAGGGGAGTTCTCGAGATCTACCTGAGCTCAAACTCCCCTCTCGCCTTGTAAACAGGAAGGAGCCCTGGGCTCGAGGATCTTTTGAGCTCAGGGCTCTTTTCCGGGAAAGCATGCCAAACAAGCTTTATAAACAATCATCAGCTAAGTGTGAACTCTTAAACTGTATCTCGCCAAATATTGTCCAATCCTAACAAGACATAAATCAATGAAACATATTTATACAGCTTTCAGATATTGCATAAATCTCAACTGACCCTTTGCTAAGCCACACCCAAAAACCAGCATCCAATCCTGGCTTAGCAATCGTAGCTACGCGCAGGGGCTCTGTCAAGCTTTCGAGCTAGGGAAACAGAACAAATCGTTTTGCATATGAATTTTGCAAATCTGATACCCGGTATCCGATATTCCTGACATTCAGTGATAGACCGATGGCAAAAACTTACACACATCTTACCCTAAACAGATCTAAACTGTGTCTCCCACAAAAAAACAAAGCAGGTTATATTTTACAGCTGTCTTTTTCTTTTCTTTTTTGCTCAATATTATGAGCACTGCTCTGTTTGAGACTTTGCCATAGTAACCTAGTCAAACTAATAGCGAATAGATTATAATTAAAAGTTATTGATCTGGCAAATACGAATCTGCGAATCTGTTGCTACCTTTACTGAACTTCATATTTACATCCGTTTCAAGCTACAAATATTTTAAATTACAAATCAACAGAACAAAACGAAGATATGATCACAAACTGAGCTCTTGCGATCAATCTACTTCACCTGCAGTTCTTTTTCATTAATTTATCAAGAGTTCACAAACATACTGACAGTAATAGGTAACTTACTGTACATTGTTATGGGTCAATGATACTACTACTCAACACAAATCCATCAGTTTCCCTTTTCTGGCTGTTTTTTCTATGAATGACTGTAGAAGCACTGTCCATGCATGTTTCATAGTCGGTTAGCAATGCTATATTTCATTGCACAGCAATTAATTTATTAGGCTGTTTGGCTAAAAATAGAGAAATCACAGTTTAATTAGTTATTATTAGATTATTTTTAAATTTCACCTCTCCTGCTAAGCTAAGCTGTTGAATGGTCAGCGTATGAGGCGGCTAGGCTAAGCTAGCTTCAATTTTGATTGAATATTTCTCTAATCGGTTGCCAATTATGTTATGAATATACCCCTGTAATGCATACTGCAGTCCTTTTTTGTCTGGCTTTCTCGGATATCTCACTTATTCACCAAAAATGACATTATATCCCTGGCAATGTCTGACACCAGCGCATACAGTTTGTAAAAGCCATGCCAGGCACGAAAGCTTGACAGGCATAGCAACAGTAACTTAGAAGGGCGGGGCTTAACGAAGGGTCAGTTTATTGCTGGTTTTGAGGTCCAGAGTCACATTTGACAAATTCTTTCCTATTTTATTTTTGTTAGTTTGTTAGTAGAGTCAGATGCTAGAAATTACAAGTTGTTAATGATTATGAGTACTCAACTCATACTGTAAACCTTACACACAAACCTGCACACATCATCTTTATGGGTTTGTGTGATGTGGCTCTTTATACACGTGTGATGTATTTACAGATAAATACAGCTGTATGCAGCGATGAAGTGAAGCACCCAGCAACAACATTGACCATAAACAAAATGATTAAGATACCTTGAGGGTCAGATGCACAACAACAGTTTTGCAAACAAACAAACAAACGTCTGTATTCTGGAAAATATGCAAACAAGTCTGTGCTGGTCCTAATGGTCCCACTTAAGGCTAGCATAAGAGCCCCCATTGTGGTGCAAGAACAAAGCCATTGAGAGTTTGCTCACTGGCAAAATGTTGCCCCCTTAAGGCTGGTTTATACATCTGCATCAAGTGATCACCGCGACCCGTGGATCCTACCTAGTGTAGCTGTGAATTTATACTTCTGTGTGCTGTTTGTGTTGCTCTGCAATAACACTTCCAAAACGCTACTGGCAGTAGGTTTTTATGTTCCTCTGTGTTGAGTTTCTTCGCGGGTATTTTGTTTTTTCTGAATGCAACCTTAATGTACAAGTAGCTAAAACTCATTCATTCAGAGGTGGGAACCGGCAGACGTGCAACAACTTTAACCATTAGGTCAACACAAAACAAAAGTTTTCATCTGGGTTTCCTTCACAGGACCCGACACTTGTAAACACTCGGACTTGCAGCTCTCAGCACCACCCACACTTATCACAGCTACGCAGACAACGTCAGAAAAAATTATTGAATAAAAAAGGCATTTAAATTGCGCAATGACAATAAATATTATAGATTGAGCAACAAAACACAGTAAAATGAAAGTAACAAGCCTGATTTAAAAGTGTAAGGATCAGAAAGTACAGATAATTGTAAAAGTAAAAAGTTGTCAGAAAAATAAGTAGTGGAGTAAAGTACTGATACCAAAAAAAAATCTGTTTAAGTACAATAACAAAGTATTAGTACTTCATTACTTCCCATCTCAGGTTGAAAGTAT